CAAAAATCAGTTATGATGCAAAGCATGAAATTATAAAAAGTTTAAGAAAGCTTATACATCATTTCAGTAGGAAGTTCATTTGCCATACAGGAGGACAAACATACAGTATTTGGTTTCAAAGTAAAGCAAATCCTCTTTGGAGTGACATACCCAAAAGATCACCAGGGCAAAGTCAGGCATGGGGCTCTCTGACTTGAGAACAAAACACATAAAACAGACCCATTATACAGATACAGAAATTCCTTCATTTCCCTCTTCTTGCTGTTTTTCCTCTCTCTGCTGTTTTCTTTTTTCCCCTTTTTTGTGCTCAGCTGACTTTTCATGCATCTCCAAAGGAATCCAAGCCGACACAATGGCTGTGTGTGATCCACCACGCTGAATTGTAAATTATAAACATTTTATATAAACATGTTATTCAAATTGAGTTATTGGTAGGGACAAATAGGTCGGTCCAAAATTTTGTCCCTATGCAAACCTACGCCATTGTTACACAGTAAATGTCACAAAAAATTTGTCAATCAACTCTATGAGGTCAGCTGTGTCTGGATGGTCTTTCACACAAAGGATTGTGGGAAACCATTTTGGTCCTAGTGGCAGTTAGAGATGTCAAACGGTGTCTATGCTAACTGCGCTACCGGTGTTATAGGAAGCCTCCAGCTTCCTCACTGCTTAGCTAGCACTGATAGCTGTCTGCTGGAGCAGTGGCCTATCTGTAGCTGAGAGAAAGCGGCTGGATGATCTGATCAGGACCTGCCTCCAGCCAGTTGGTCATAATCCAGGTAGATAATCATTTCAGGGTCTTCTGGCCTAAGACCCCCCCATTTGCTTGTGTTCTGTTAATAAAAGACTGTTGTTTTGGTGGGGGGCAGAAAGGTGCTGAAATGTGAACAGGCAGCCTTTCTCCTCCTGCAGGAAGCTGTGTTTGAAAATCCCTTTGTGTGTCAGATTCATTTTTGTCCTATATGAACTCACAATTTTTAAATCTAACACACGACACAATGCAAGAGGCACAATCACCAACTAGCTAGGATTGTGGATGTCTGTGTGTCAGTTTGATGAATTTGTTGGCTGTCTACAACCCCTCATCCAATGTCGGACAACACAGTTAACCTATTTGCTGCTGCCATCAACACCTTTGTTAATAGATGTTTGAGATCGGCCTGTTTTTCAGTGTAGTCCTGTTTCTCTGACTGTGACTGAGTGGATGTGCTCTCTTCATCCTCTGACATGGGAGCTGGCTCAGAGCTCATCTGCCAGCTGTGTTTCCTGGACGGGGCCACCTGAGGAGCTGGTTGACAGTTGCCTTTTCTATCTCTGCTTCTGTCTCCTTGAACCCCAGTTTGCCTCAGCAGATGGCCGCTCACACTGAGCCTGGTTATGCTGGAAGTTGCTTACTGTTTAAAGGGAGTTTTTCCTCTCCACTGTCGCTAGAAGCATGCTTAGTGTGAGGGATTGCATTCGAGTCAATGAGTCGATGCAATTAGGTAGAAAACTTTGAATCAATTTGACTGGATGATCTGGTGAACTGTAAAGCGCCTTGAGATGACATGTGTTTTGAATTGGCGCTATAGAAATAAACTGAATTGAATTCAAACTGAATTGAATAGTGAACATGTGATGCGTCAATGTCATCAAATAAAATGTTTCTGATTGTTCCCCAGTCAACTCTTCTTTAAAATACCACAATTTGCTCATAACTGTCTGCCTGATTACATCATCTTAATAATTTCACCAGAGGTTAGAAGCCAACAGTTACCCAGTGCTTTTATATCCCTTTAACAGAGTACTTTTTTTAATGTTTTTTTTTTTTTTTACTTGAGTAACAAAACATTAAAGTAGTGCTTCTATTAGATGAGTGAAATGTTGAGGGGTTGTTACTCCCCTCTGCTTCGCACTGTTGCTCAACTGGAGTTTTTCTTTCTTCTTGACAGGAAATTGCCTCAGAGATAAATGATTTTCAACTAATCACGTTTGTAAAGCAGGTTTTTTTCCCTCTATCTGTCTGCTGGTGAGCTGACATTAAGGTCGCTGTTCTGTCAGACCAGCATACCCATAGTCAATACCAGTGTATCCCTTTAGTTTTGTACAAAAAATAGACTTTAAACTACTTCAAGAGGCGTGTATCCCTTAAGTCATGTATAAACCCCCCCCCAAAACATTTAATTACTTACTTTTTTGTGTTTTTTGAGTATATGATGATCTTCCCTTGAATTTTATTTTTTTTTTTTACATGAGTAAAGGAATAAGCACAAATCTGACGTCTTGCGTCTTGAATATACACATGCTGGTCTGACGGAAAACCGGCCAAAGGTATAAGTGAACTAAGTGACTGCTTCAGTCCCCCAGGGCAAGTAAGAGCAAAATAATTTTTTGAAAGGAAACGGGGGCCACCAGGTAAAGTTTGGGAATCAACGCACCACATGTTACATTAAGTCTGCAGTTAGAACCAAAAAGTCAAACAGCTTTAGTTTCACTGGATGCAGCTGAGTTCAAAAACATTTCAGCCTGTGACCCCAAAAACAACGACTGCTGACCCCCTAAAAATGTATTCTCTTAATTTATGTATATATATAAAGTAAGGTCATTAAATTCACCATTGAATAAGTCCAATGGTTTTATTTTATATTCTAGCTGCATTTTATTAATATTATATTTTAACAAAATACAATTGTTAAAACTTGTCTCAAGTGAAGCAGTTTAAGTATATCGGGGTCTCGTTCACGAGTGAGGGACTGATGTGGCGTGAGATCGATAGACAAATCGGTGCGGCGTCGGCAGTGATGCGGTCGCTTTATTGGATTGTTGTGGTGAAGAGGGAGCTGAGTGAGGGGGCAAAACCCTCACCCTTGGGGGCCAAAATTCATGACGTCCGAAGTCTTGCTACGGTGATACCAGGTGACCACTTCAGGAAGTGGTTCAGAAAGCACAAGAACTTCAAGAGGCATTTAAACAGCCTCAGTATTCAGTCAAGATGTGGGAGTTTGTAGGAGAGCTGCTGTCAGGTGGATAGAGTTTGGATAGATTCTAAGAATAGATTGGTTGGAAAAACCACCAATCTAGATGGTTAAAACTAGTTTGGTTTGATTAAACAATGATCAAAAACTGAGCAAGCCACTGGACACAGTTGTAATGGGTTTTAAGTAGTATTGCTTTCTAAAGAACTATCGGCTTGCTAGTGGCGTCAGCTGAAAGAGATGAACTTCCACATCTCGGTATTTTACTACTTTGTATTTTTGCCCTGGTACAAATATAGATTAGGTACAAACACTGCCAAATTAGATTGGTTGGTTTAGCCAAAAGATTGGTTGAACAAAAAACATAAATACCTGATTAAAACCAAAAACCATGGAAAAACTATTATGTTTGAATAGAAATTATTAACATCTTTCATTTTGTACAAATACTTTCATTATACATACCAATCACTAAAGATTTCAAAGGAACTTACATGGGAAAAAAAACAAGAAAAACAATTGCAAAAAAAATTGATTATATTATATATCATTTTGTTCATCACTGCCCAATTCGAACAAACACTTTAACTGTCTGCTTGAGCTTATTTCACCAAAATGGCAGAAAAACGTTGTGCCTTAAATTATTGTTCTCTTCTAAGACATTTTACACACAACAAAAGTCACAAAAGCTTTTATTGTTCACACCGATTAGTAACAATTTCAAAGAAACTTAAATGAGAAAAAAAACAACAAGAAAACCAACTGCAAAATAATCAGTTTATATTGCTAACTGTAGTTCTGCGATCCACCAGTAGGTGGTGACATTTTCCCATGAAGCTTCATGAACTGTGGGGATCGTTGAAGCAATTTGGCCAAAAGGTTAAATTCCTCATTAGGCTTCATCTCGCCATGACTACCAAAAGGACAAGATTGCAAATACAAAATGCCAAAATGAGTTACTCCGCTGGGCTGGGCGCAATATTTTAAATCAGGTGAGGAGCTCAGTTACCCGGGACGAGCTCGGAGTAGAGTCGATGCTCCTCCACGTCGATAGGAGCCAGCTGAGGTGGCTCTGGCATCTGTTCCGGATGCTTCCTGGCCTGGCCGTTCCAGGCATGTCATATTGGAAAGAGGAAGGCCCAGGAAACGCTGGAAGGACTATGTCTCTAAGCCGGCCTGGGGGTCCCACTAGAGCCTGTTGAAGTAGTTTAAAGTTTAATGTACTTACAAAATTAAAGGGATAAACTAAAAGGATAAACAGTTATTGACGATGGGTATGCTGGTCTGACTGGTTATGCTCAACTGACAGAACAGCGGCAGTGACGTCACGGTGCGGTAAGCCTAGCGTCATTCTCCCCGCTTTACAAGCTAAATCAATGGGAACTACTAGACACATCTGCAATCAACAACAATTATTGAAGATTTCCAGAGGACTTCACCATTGAAATTCACCAGAGCTATAGTGAAACTGACAATGCCCACGTGCATGGCAGCTGGATGCTGGAATACATCGGGTAAAAGTGAAAAAAAAGAGTTATTCCACCTTTCTGATTCCTGATCCTCCACGGACGGGTTGGTCGTTGGATCGCCAACTTGAAGAGGGAGGATTTGCCATCGAACTTCTGACCAGAGAAAAAACCCGTAATATGTAGCCAACATTTGGAAGAAGAATGTTTTCAAGATGACTTGGATAATAGCGCGTTGTGACAAACACCAGATACAGCACTGGGACTTGATCAACAGCCGATACCGCACCGTGACGTCACTAACCAGTAGGTGGCAGTAGTGTTCTTTGACAAACATGGATGCCTCCAGTAAAGCACATTCAAATAAAAATTACTCTGAATTAAAAACACTGATCATTTATTGAACAGAATGTAATAATTTCATATTTAAATTACTTTAAGAAGTTTGTATTCTGAAAATGACTGAACTTCTCCTTTAAACCTTCTATTTCTGCTCGGTTTCTGGGCCCCTCCCTCCACGTGCAGAGTACCTGTTTTGGACACGTGCTGCAGTGACGCAGACAGGGAGGTGAGGATGTTCCTCCTCCAGCTTCAGTCAGTCAGTCAGTAGCGGATCCTTCTCTCCTTTCCTCCGGGCTGAGGAGCCTTCATCCCGTCAGGCTCAGTCCCCCCCCCCCACCATGCGCGCTCCAGCCGCTGCGCTCTCCATGGTTCTGTTGCTCCACCTGTGGTTCGGACCGGTTCTGTGCGCCGCGGCCAGAATCCAGCAGCTCAACGAGCGACCGATCATCGGTAAAAGCTTTTGTTTGCTTCTCCATGTGGAAAAAGGGCCCCGCAGCTTCATCTGCAGCATTATCAGAGATGTTATGTAATAATTCGGGAATGTTCCAGAGGGGAGGAGAGGGGGGCGCTGCAGGAGGAAGTTAAAAAGGCTTTCTATCCTTTAATCAACCGAAACCAAGTATCACCTTGTTATAAATGTTTTCTTACTGATTGGTTGAAAGACTGATGAGGAAGTTTATGAAGTTTAAGCAGGGGCAGATTTAGGAAATTTGGGGCCCTAGGCAAAAACAGGCATGGGGCCCTATGGATAGCAGAAATGTTAATAGAATAGACATACATTATTTGTTCTAGGTTGTGTCCCTCTCTTCTTGTCCCCTTTCTTGTTGTTTTCCTCTCTATGTTTTGTACTCAGCTGACTTTTCATGCTGTCTCTAAAGGAATGAAAGATTGTTTCCAAGCACTAAGCTCACTTAGCTGATTGCTCCTTCCTGTTTTTTCAAAATGGCAAAAGTAAATAACCCAGTCCTTCTTTTCACTGTAGACAAGCCATGATCTGCTTATCTGTTCTCCATTTTTCATTTGGATGAAATAATAGCTGCATGAATCATGACAGCAGACAAGATAGAGGAGAGCAGGAGGCGGGGTTACCAATGTACTCGCTCTGGAGAGCAAAGTTCGCTGCTTTTAGATGTTGTTGCCAAAGCCTCAAGAAGCAGAAAAAAGTCACTAAATTTTGGTACTAGGCTCTTTTTTTAAATAAAAATACTAGAGGGGTCAGAAAAGTCGCTAAATAGCGATAAAAAGCGCTAAGTTGGCAACGCTGCTCTTTGCATCGTTTGTTTTCAAATGGTTTGCTGCTGTCTGTTTGGAACTTTCTGAATGTGCAGCAAATGGACTGATTCAATATGGTGGACACTGAAGGGGGGGGGGGGCATTCTGATGGCATTTTAGTGAAAGGATTTTTATCAAAAACATAATTAATGTGCAGAAATAAGGAATAGTTGTATTAACCATACATGTAAACAGAGTTTAATGGGGCCCCCAGGAACTTAAGACTGCCTAGTATTGCCTAATGATAAACCCCCCCCTGAGTTTAGGTCCAGTACAGCAGCAGAGCCGAGTTAAACCCCCAGTCATTGTGGTCAGCAGTGTCATTGCTCAGAGGAACTACATGCGGATATTATTGCAACTCATTAGCAAGTCATGGTGTTGCTCTGTATTACAATGATTGCAGCGATTAAATTAAATTAGAAACTTCTTTGTGATTCTTTAGTTAATAAAAATAAGTTTGATTCTCTTAATGTCACAATGAAGGGGAAAACTATTTACAAACATTTTCTAAGCCAGTTTGAATCCAGAACTGTCCCTGTTCTGTTTTACTGTGGTTTTAAAGGATGTAATTAAATGCTTTCTGCACGATGATTCAGGATGACTCTTTTTTTTTTTTTTTTTTTTTTGGGACAGTGACTCAGCATTTGCATGTCTCATGGTGTTCTCTCCAGGTGTTTTAGCACAAGAAAACCTTCCTGAGGACCGCTTTGCTCGTGGTTCCTCCTACATTGCTGCTTCCTACATCAAATTCCTGGAGAGTGCTGGAGCCAGGGTTGTTCCCATCAGGTAACGTAGCTCCAGCCCCAAACATCCCAGCTGTCTGGGTTTCCTTTGGATTTAAAAATACAGGCGCCATTCTTATGTTTCCCCTGATATGAAAACTACCACTGTGAGCCGGTGAGACGCTGATCCACCTGCAGCCGCAGCAGGGAGGGGGGGCAACAGCACTGCTGTAAAACCCAACATCCTCAACTAGCCATCATGTACTCCACAAAGCACAACAGGCATTTAAACAGCCTCAGTATTCAGTCAAGATGTGGGAGTTTGTAGGAGAGCTGCTGTCAGGTGGATAGTTTGGATTGATTCTAAGAATAGATTGGTTGGAAAAACAACCAATCTAGTTGGTTAAACCATTTTAGTTAGATTATACAATATATTGATCAAAATCTGAGCAAGCCACTGGATACAGTTGTAACTTCAGTGTTAAGCACTATTGCTGTCTGCTGAACACTTGTCAATGTTGTTGGCATTGGCTGTAAGTCATTGACTTTCATTCCTGAGGTTGATGGTTCAAGATCTACCTTTGACTTGAAAGCTGTGATTATATTTCAGTATTTAGGCTAATGTGTAGATTAGATTGGTAGAACATTTAACTTCCAACCCGATTAAAACCACAAACTGTGGAAAAACTTTTATGTTAAATAAAAATGACTAACACCTTTTATTTTGCTCATCATTGCCTGATTTGCACGAACACTTTACAATTTTAAATAGATATTTTCTAAATTTTGGGACAATATCTGTTATGTCTGTTAAAGAGCACATTTACACTCACCGGCCACTTTATTAGGTACCCCATGCTAGTAACGGGTTGGACCCCCTTTTGCCTTCAGAACTGCCTCAATTCTTGGTGGCATAGATTCAACAAGGTGCTGGAAGCATTCCTCAGGGAGTTTGGTCCATATTGACATGATGGCATCACACAGTTGCCGCAGATTTGTCGGCTGCACATCCATGATGCGAATCTCCCGTTCCACCACATCCCAAAGATGCTCTATTGGATTGAGATCTGGTGACTGTGGAGGCCATTTGAGTACAGTGAACTCATTGTCATGTTCAAGAAACCAGTCTGAGATGATTCCAGCTTTATGACATGGCGCATTATCCTGCTGAAAGTAGCCATCAGAAGTTGGGTACATTGTGGTCATAAAGGGATGGACATGGTCAGCAACAATACTCAGGTAGGCTGTGGCGTTGCAACAATTGGTACCAAGGGGCCTAAAGAGTGCCAAGAAAATATTCCCCAAACCATGACACCACCACCACCAGCCTGAACCGTTAATACAAGGCAGGATGGATCCATGCTTTCATGTTGTAGACGCCAAATTCTGACCCTACCATCCGAATGTCGCAGCAGAAATCGAGACTCATCAGACCAGGCAACGTTTTTCCAATCTTCTATTGTCCAATTTCCATGAGCTTGTGCAAATTGTAGCCTCAGTTTCCTGTTCTTAGCTGAAAGGAGTGGCACCCGGTGTGGTCTTCTGCTGCTGTAGCCCATCTGCCTCAAAGTTCCACGTACTGTGCGTTCAGAGATGCTCTTCTGCCCACCTTGGTTGTAACGGGTGGTTATTTGAGTCACTGTTGCCCTTCTATCAGCTCCAACCAGTCTGGCCATTCTCCTCTGACCTCTGGCATCAACAAGGCATTTCCGCCCACAGAACTGCCGCTCACTGGATGTTTTTTCTTTTTCGGACCATTCTCTGTAAGCCCTAGAGATGGTTGTGCGTGAAAATCCCAGTAGATCAGCAGTTTCTGAAATACCCTTCTGGAGCCCTTCTGGCACCAACAATCATGCCACGTTCAAAGTCACTCAAATCACCTTTCTTCCCCATACTGATGCACGGTTTGAACTGCAGGAGGTTGTCTTGACCATGTCTACATGCCTAAATGCACTGAGTTGCCGCCATGGGATTGGCTGCTTAGAAATTAAGCGTTTAAGTGGCCGGTGAGTGTATATACATGTTTAAGCCAGAATGATTTGATATTTAAATATGATTGGGCTCCACGCATGCACCAACGCATCGGTGTTACTGGACCCGTCACTACTACCTGTCAGTTGTTTTCGGGCCCCTCCTACTTGGGGCCTCCTGGTGAGCAAGCAGCCGCTTAGTTCGCATATGCCTCTGGCCGGCCCTGGTTGTGTGGAACCTTTTCTTAAAAGTTAACTCATGTTTTTAAGGCAGCAGTTAAGCTTAATTATTTAAGCTAAACCATCCTGATAATCATTAATGTTCTTTGTTTTATCAAGTGGAAAATGAAAACCCTTCAGAACGATCCCTCTCAGGTTGCTCTCTCTGACTGCTGGTGGAGCAGGAAGGCGTGTGATCAGCTGCCTACAGACACTCAGAGTAGTGATGGTGAGATGAAGCCTCATGAGGCATTGAACCGTTTGGCCAAATAGACCTTTTTCACGACAACCGGAAGCTGCGTCTGAAAGGGCTGGAGCACTTCCTGTTTTACTCTGAAAAATGTCTCTCCTCCGGTGCTTTTCGTCATCCTTACTTAGTTTGCCAACACTTTCTTTCGCGGATGCGGAGGAAATCGCTGCGGCGAATCCCCCCACCAACAAATCTGTGAAAGGATACAAGTTCTTCCACGAAGAATATATCCACAGCTATCAAGGTAAGAAGAGACGTAGCTTAGCGAGCTAACCGCTAGCTGCAAGATATGAGCTACACAAACATCGTAATGAAGCCTAACTTAGTATCTAAATTATGTGGAATATTGGAGACGGACATAGTTTAAACTTTTCAGTTATATTTTGACATTCTGAAATTTGTTTGCCACTATAGTTTGTGAAAAACAGCATGCTAGAATGTTATGTTAGTTCTGAGATTCTAGATGATGCTTGATGTTGAAACTATGCTTTACTTCTGCATGCCTGTAGTGTCAAATATTGTCGAGGGGCAGGTAGTTGTCAGAGCTAGATGCTTCAGATCCATGAAGAAAAATGAGGAACCGCACAAGCTGCAGGTTTGAAACAGTCAGAAAGCCGTTTGGCTTGTTTGACGGCTGAAGAAATTTCACGTACGACTTCTGGACTACTTAGAGCTTATTCTAACATTTTCCTGTTCAGTTGTTACTATTTGTTTTATGTTTCTGTTGCGGTTGCAACATAATCTGTGGGAATGCATGATAGGACAGATATGGCTGTTTTCTTGCCCCACATGAACAACCAGGTACAGAACAAAAACAACTGCGCCGAGACTGAGCCATTTTCTTAGACTTTTATGCTAACGCTATAGCCACCGGAAGTTGTCCAACCCCACATCCGCTTTAAAACCCGGAAGTGTGAAAAAGGTCTATTGCTTCAACGATCCACACAGTTCATGAGGTTTCATGTGAACATGTCACCACCTACTGGTGGAGTGCAGAACTACAGTTTGTAATAAAATCAGTGATTTTTTTTTTTGCAGTAGTTTCTCATTTTTCCCCCTTTTAAGTTACTTTGAAATTGATAATGATTGGCCTGTACAATAAATAAAGTTTTTTTTTATGACTGTAAAATGTCTTAGAAGAGAATAATGATTTAAGGTGCACAGTTTTTCTGCCATTTTAGTAAAAATAAGGTCAAAACAGACAGTGAAAGTGTTTGTGCAAATTGGGCAATGATGAGCAAAATGAAAGGTGATAGTCATTTTTATTCAAACATGATAGATTTTCCACGTTTTTTGGTTTTAATCAGGTTGGAAGTTGTGTTCAACCAATCTTTTGACTAAACCGACCTAATTTTCCCAATCTATATTTTTACTCGGGCAAAACAATGCAAATTAGTCTCATCAGCCAAAATAATTAGGTGTAATCGAAATTTTCAAAAGTCAAAGACAGGACTTGAACCGTCAACCTCTAGAGTGGGAGCCTGACTCTTACAGCTGACGCCACCTATGTAGCTGATCTCACTCAGGAGAAAATACTTCTTATCATTGACGTGTTAACACTGGCTTTGTCTGGTGGTTTGCTCAAATTTTGATAATTACATTGTTTATTCCAACCAAATTAGAAACTAGATTGGTTGGAAAAACAACCAATCTATTATTAGAATCTATCCAAACTTTATCCAGCTAAGAGCAGCTCTACTCCAAACTCCCACATCTTAACTGAACACTGAGGCTGTTTTGATGCCTGTCTAAATTCTTGCGCATTCTGAACCACTTACCGAAGCGGTCACGTGGTTTCACGGTAGCGAGGCCTCGGACGTCATCAATTTTGGCCCCTCCTCTAAATGAATCACGCCTCGACACGCGCTTCGGGGAAACGACCCCTCCATTACTCGACACACATCTCGAAGTCTCTGCTCATCTCATAACATCACTGCTGATCTCCTCAGGACGTGAAGACTCATATTTAAAGAACATTTCCAAAACATAATGCAGGATTCTGAGTTGTTTCAATTAGTTGTACTAAATTTAAAGGTACACTATGCAACCGGTGTTGATTTTCCAGTGAGGCTCCCTCCAGAGGGCGAAAGTAAAAGTGCACTGTCGTAAATATGCACAGCTGTTCTCCTGGTTTCTCCGTCAAGCCAGGCGCGGTTGTTTTGAGCTTAGCAGCGAATGACTAACGCTGCGTTCACACTGGACGTAGCTGGCGCGACAGAAGCAGCGAGTTTACATGCAAAGTCAATGGTTGACGCGCGTCAAGGCGCAACAAAAGGTCCCGCGGCGCGTTTTGAGCACCAGGCGCAGCACGTCTGAGCAGCTGAAGCAGCGCGTCGGGTGCGTTTAACGCAGGGAGAGAGACACAGCGCTGATGATCTCTCCTCTTAAACAGTTTATTGACGCCTAAATTAACTTAAAATGCAGAAATCTGCCGGCAGAATATGCAGTTTGGATTATTTAGATGAAAAACACCTACCAGCTGCCGCGGTGAACCGCTGCTGATGAAGGGATCCATACTGTTGGCGCCCCGCTGGTATGTGGGGGTCTGAGCGGCTCCGACAGAAAAAATATTGAAGGCAGGATAATAATCTGAATGAACTGACTGCACTGATTACGTTTTCAGGT